AAGGTCCCAAAATAACCTTCTGAATTCAAAGAGAGATCGTGTAGAGCGTTCATTTCCAGTTCTCCAAGATCAGAAGAAGAGGGTCCGCTTTTCCCAAAAGGGCTTTCCGCATTCAGAGACAGCGAAATGCAGACTTCAGTTTTCTCCCTCCCCAAGAATAGAGGGTCCCAAAATGGCTTCCCATTTCAAAGAGAGAGGGAGAGGCGTTCATTTCCATTCTCCAAGATAGGGTCGTCTGCTTTTTCCCAAAATGGCTTCCCAATTCAAAAAGAGAGAGAGAGAGAGAGAGTAAAAGGGTGTGTGTAGAGCGGTCATGTTCATTCTCCAAGATAGGGTCGTCAGCTTTTTCTCAAAATGGCATCTCCCCATTCAAAAAGAGATCGTAACCAATTTTTTCCAGTTTTTTTCCAAGATGGGGGGGAGAAGAAAACCTAGGATGGAATAACACGACACACAGAGAGAAAGAGAAAAAAACGCCATCTTGTCATTTTCTGATAGGGTACCGGTGTTCGAATACTTTTGTGACCGACTGTACCCTCTTTTCGAAGATAGATATTTTTTCTTTCCAGATTGCATACCAGAAGCTGAGTAAAGAGATGTTCTTTCATCTTGAGCTAACCACTCTGTCAATGCTATGTCTGGCCATCAAAGGTGAACCCTTCGTTTTTCGCGTTTAAGCGGAAGCACTGTCCGACATTGATGCAAAGTTCACCAGTTTGTCTTTTGCTTTAGATGTCACGCAGTGTTTCCGCGGGTTTCGTAATCCAATTCATCTGCTGCCTTGTAGGCGCGTTTGCTACTCTAGTTTTGTGCAATCGTCAACACAACCTTCTTTCGTTTTCCTGGCATTTTAAATCGGTAACGGAATACACAAAAGCACAAGCACTGAATACAATAAAAGATAAGAAATTAACTCCGACCGGTTCGGAAAAAAAAAAAAAAAAAAAACCTTTGAGCGGCAGGCACGGATAATCGGGAGTCTACTGTATATATTCTTAGTTCTTAGTACTGGAAAGAAAAAAAAGAAAGAATAGTGTAGAACATGGAGGTAAAAAAGGAAGGAGTGGCTAAATCGGCATTAGGAATGAAGCGCTGCTCGGTCACCAGATGGGGTGTTTTTTTATTTACATTCAGAAGCTCCCTTGACAGTGCTCTGGTACTATTTCGATACACGAAAGTTCCATACAAATCGAAAAACGGGACACTTCCGCACAAAAGAAAACATTCCTAGTATGATGGATAATAGCAATTTGTATTCGACTTTTACTCAAAAATCACATCTTGGTTATTTTTCGATAACTAACAACAGCGATTTTGATTACGAATTAGTTTTATAAAATTATAAGCTGTTGAACTACAAAAAAAAATACCTCACCGTACCTTTAAAATTGTGCACATTTTTCGATACCCTTAATACAGTACTCGCTAGTTATATTTTATGTTCCAAACGCCAAAATGTTTTAAATAAAATATTTTTTTCACATCCACATATTATTGTAACATGTACTCAGTTCATTTCGTGGATGTGAGTATTTCAAGAAGTTTACTAAAAATTTCCGCTCCGCGCGAAATCGCCCTGGACTTAGTTATGCAAATGCTGTTAAACCCCAAGTTACTTCTATTCAGACTGTTCCTCCTAACATTGATGTTGACTAGACTAGAAAGATGTCTGAAACTGATGATAATCAGACTAGAAAGTTCCCTGAAACCAGAAATCCACTAGTCAAAGGGACTTCAAACCGCTGATAGCATAAGGAAAATTGTTAAACATTTTCAGAACAGTTATAGATAAATCAAAGCAGCTCCCAGTAATGCTGAGGAGCTCCTGATTCTACTTAATATTTTAGAGCTTGCAAATAACTAATTAATTCTCCTTCAGCTTTTCTGACCACCGCCTGGATTTTGGCCGATGCTATTCTTACCACCGGTGCGATTAGCTGCTTAAGCTATTCGCACCAACATTAACGACGCATGCGCATTGAGTTGTCAAAGGCGGGTTTCTACCTTGGCGTAGTTTATCATTTTTTAAGCGTTGGCGACTTTCAAAAGTTTAGAAAGGAAAATGGGTTCCTTTTCTTATAAAAAGAAGGAAACATTTTCTTTTATTAAAGTATATATAAAAAAGGGCAGATTTTTTATGTGTTCGCCAATGTTTATACTTTTCCTGAACGGTTTTGAATAGTTTAAATGACTGATTTGAAGGGGAGGGCAAAAATCGTGTTGACATTTTTTGTACTTCTTAGAAGACATTTAGCTTTAAAGATGTGTTTTGCTCAATCAAGCTTTTAATTCATTCCTCTTTGAAAAATTTCGTCCGATAAAAGATACTAAAAATTAGACAGCGGATTTCTGTGTAGAAAATTTAGACATGAAATAAATTAAAAGCGATTATATGAACTATTAAATGAATTATTCTGTATGCCTGCTTATTTTTTTATTCAAATACTTGGCATTTTCAGGACACAAAAAGTGCTTCAAAGAAGTTTGAAATATTAGTACAAACACATTAATCAATTAAATTGAAATAAATAATTGGATGTAATTTAAAAGACAGAAATAATTTAATGTAAGAGATCTAGATTTAAAAATTTGCACGCACAAATCAGATTTTGTAAGGTTTTATTTCATAAATAACTTTGATTTTGAAATATGGCATTTGAAACTATAAACCTGTGTGGATACTGAAAAAGTGATGAATATATAAGAATATTATCATTTTCAGTAAGTTTTCTTATTGAATAATAAATTCTGACAGTTCTATGCTATAAGAATAGGGTCTAAGTTTGCATAAAAATTCCTCTGTTAAATAAAAGAATTTAAGTAATTTCTGTAGCCTTTTTGTCAATACACTAAAGATTTTTTAACTAATAACTCGTCCTCGCTTGCAATTAGAACCATCATTAAATCCCTATTTTATCTAATCATTTCCTGAATATTATCATGTATATAGATTGACTTCGTCTTTGTAACTGATAATTATTATTTGCAAATTATTCTCTTGCTGGTGAACTATTAACAACCCTTTCTATTGCTGAGTTAGGGTCAACAACCTTCGCTCTCACTACCGCCTGCCTTACGGAAATCGGCGTAAAATGCTAGTACCTGGACTGATTGTGCGCATGCGCGAACGTAGGTGGTGTGAATAGCCTGTTAGCTAATCGCACCGTCGGTGCGATTAGCCACTGCGCTGGATTTTTATGTAAGTTGTTCACTACGGTCTAAGGACTTTGTCTCTACGGCCTTAGCGCCACAGTTTCCAACAAGGAGGTTAGAATAGAAGGAGGGAAGGTTCAACTCAAACGGTGAAGCTTGGCGGCCATCTTCCTGTTATCACGTGACTTGTGCAAGGAAGTCTGTCATTGCAACATTTTTTCTTTTCTTTTTGAAGCATGTCAGCTTGTGTTGCATATGGGTGCACAAATAGATTCTCGAAAAAAATTCTGGGCGTTATTTTTCACACGTAAGTATTGATTTTCTTTTTTTTTTATGTAATACGACAACTATGTCAAAAAATATCACAATTTCATGTTGTTTTCTTTCCAGATGTGAAAAAAAAGGGACTTAAATAATCAAAATAGGTTACGTTTAATATAACTATAATCAAAATATGTTAAATACATTTCAATGTTTCTGTTTATAGCTGGTATCTTCGTTACTTAAGATACAATGCTATATGGTAGGATTTAAATTGTATATTTTGAACGTTTTAGTTACTTCGTTTTATAACTTTTCATGAAAAGTAAGAAATCAATTGTTACTTTTTTATTAATTGTAAAGGTGTTTTAAATAAAGCAATGCTTTTCTTTATATATTAATTATTATTCATTTTTTAAAGTTAAGATAAACTGTTCTGTTGTTAAAAATTTTTTGTAATTTTTGAAGCAGTCTAGTGAAAAATTAAGTAATAAATATTTACAAATTTTTGAGCAGTATAGTGATAAAATTAAGTAAAAATATTTACACAATTGAACATGTTGGAAAGATGTATCCAAAAACTTATATAGGTCGATTTCTGTAATTCAACTTAAATTAAAGGCAGCTTCTTTGAGATTAATAAATATGAAATGCGCATAAACTGAAATCAATGAATTCTGTTTTATTAAGATTTATTTTCTAAGCGAATCCGTGAAATATGCAGAAACATCATTTTTTAAAGGCTTTAATGTTATGCGCATGCATTTAGATTTCGAACTATTTCCTAACAATTTGCTGTACATAGTAAATTATGGATATCATCTTTATTACTTTAAAACAAAAGTTCAACAATAGCGCGGGATTTCATTATAAATTTAACATAATTTTACTGGAAAATAAATGCACGGAACAGCTTAGAAACACGAACATGTCACTGCCGTAATGCAATGTTTTGAAGTCACAAACATGGACGCCGCTTGTTCGGCGGAGTTTCATTTCCCTATAGTGGAGGAAACTGCGAACCCTCCCTCATTCTATTCTAACCTCCTTGGTGGTTTCCAAGCAGTCAGGGGCAGGGGCAGGACTCGGGTGGGTGACCACCTGGGACCGTTTACGCGAACTGCGTTCGCCTGAGTCATCAGTAGCCTGGTGTGAATAGCCTCTTAGATTAGCCTTTCGGTGAGTAGCAACTGCGCACTATTTTGTGGTTGGAAGAGAACACCGATTTCGCTGTGACGCACTGATCAAGCTCTTTAAAAAAGTTGGTGAATTCGGCAATTACAGATAGAAAATTTTAACTCTTTAATCTACGTCAACTGGCTGAAATTCCTTTTCAAAATTGGCCACTAGGCTTAGGTTAGTATGTTTTTTGGGAATAAAAGGTCTGCTTTTGCAGTCCTTTGGGACTTGCGTCACTTCGTTATACTACAGTTTAAAAAAAAGTAAGGAATGATGTAAATTTACGGCGTTATGGAAATGGAGTTTTAGATAATGCTGCAAAGAGGTAATTTTTTTGTGTTACCATATGGTTAAGCGTTTTTATTCCTTGCGGATGTTTTTCATCTTCTGCATTGATATTTCTCTAAACCTGCATGGCATCGTTTTTGTTTAGAACCATGGCCATTTACTTTCTCGTTATGAGTTTTGACATTTTATCACGATGGCTTGCTACTTGAATTTCGCAATTAATATAAATATGGTTTATACGAGCAAAGTTTTTGATGAGGTATGAATAATTGATTAACTGGAACTCTTAAGGAACAAGTATTATTGCATAATTTTTATCAGGATATGTTGTAAATATTCAGTGTGTTTTGATTTTGTTAATACAACGAAAGTAATAATTAGTCATCTTCGAATATTTTTCCATCCATACCTGTGTATTGTTTTTTTTAATAATATTCATGAAACGGATGGATATCATCCTTAATTTATAATTCAATAAGCAATATAGTTGCGAGATTTTTACTGCTAACTTGACCGTGTTTACTGTAAAATTATATCGTATTTTCCCCCACTTTAATTATATTGGATATAGGCTGTTGTGAATTAGTCTGCATGTTCCTCGTATTAGTAGTTTTAAATTATATTTGTTCACTAGTGCCTCTCTTTGACTCGTACAGTGTAACTTTTTTTTTTTTTTTTATGATCTATATTACAATTTTTAGAAGCGCATCATTTTCAGTGGTTTCATACATATAAATCAGAATAGGGCTAAAGTGTGAAGCACTTTCTCAGAAAACCAGGTAGATATTAAACACTAGCAAAAATGAAGTATGTGTAAGGCATGCCAAATTAAAAAAAAATATATTTATCTGACAGATTACTTTTTTTGCTAGTATTTGTAGAATGCAGTGAAGCTTTTATATTTGTCATTTTTATAGTGTACTAATCTGAAAACAGAATAAATCGACACATCTTTAGAACATTATAAAATTGACTTAGGACTGGGTTTATAACTCTTTTTTTAAACTGTGATCTAGTAGTTGTATCTTTTCTCTGCATGTCTATTTGGAGTGCTACTGATATCTCTCTGTTTGTGCATTTAACTGTATGCTAACACTTGTAGCTCTGAATTTGCAGTTTTTTTGGTTTGATCCTAGTATCCGGTGCACACGAGATTTGGCTACTTTTAACGACTTTATGATGAGCAGTAAAAACGGGACATATACGATGAGTAGTAAACGGGTCATTCAAAGAATATATATAGTTAAATATAGTATATATTATGTATATACACACATAGTGTATAGTTTGAAGACGTTCTTTGGATCATTTTTGATGTTGGCGATAATTTTCAAAATCGCGCCAAGGCTGCACCGTATACTAGGATTTTGCCTTTTTTTTTTTTTTTTTTTTTGTAAAACGTTGGCTCTGTTGTTACTGTTTACTTCATTAGAATTGTGCATGTAAAAATTCAGTGTAGAACAAAAACTTACCTAGTTATTTTTGAAAGCATTTGTTCACAGCTGTGTACTTTGCTTAATGCATTTTAAGAGAGATAGCAGTACTAAATAATGTATTATTATTATGGTAGGTACAATAGATTGTATGTTTAAAAAAAATATATCAGAGATACATAGATTGCATTGCAAAAAAAAAAAAAAAAAAAAAAAAAAATGGGGGGCTACTTATACGTTATTTCATCGAAACAGCTTAATTTAGTGCCAGTTATGTATAAGTGTGACATAGCCCTTTCGTTTGATTTAACCCCTATTTATTCTTGATAACCCACCTTTTGTTTTTATTAACAAGAATGTGAATTAACTGTTATTCCTACATTTTGTCCATATATTTTGAATATAATGATTAAAATTTAGGACCTATCTAATACAGAGCAAAAAGCAGTGGATTATTTATACATTAAAATACATAATATCAATAAACTACATTTTAAATCAAACAATAAAATAACATAAAAAGGAAATTCATCTAAGCACAAACACAAAGCAAATATCCACTTAGCTTATTTAGAAATTTCTGAGTCCTTTAAACTGTGGCACACGAAATTCCGTAACAGCATCCAAAAACTTCCTATAATTATCTGAACTAGAATCCGTATGTCGGTGTTGCCACAGAAATTAGAGTAAAAAATATCCTCCGACGTTCAGCCGTACGCATTTCCTTTCTACAAACGGGACGCTTATTATGGCTTCTAAGTAAACCTTCATTTACACACCACTCAATTAATGCACTTTTCCCCTTTCATTCCAAATCATACAGAAATTCAAATTAATCTTATAATATTCGGCCATTCTTTCATCTAAACCACAAAACAAGCAATGTACACTACACAAAGAAAAAAAAAAAAAAAAAATGGGACAGTTTGGTACTATTCGGTTTCGAGGGCCGTAAAAAATCGCCAAACTATTATTGTTGCCAATGCTACCAAAAGTAATTGCGACAACCCTAACTCAATGAAGGAAGTATAATAGTAAATAACTATCTAAACATTTATGTTTTAATTTAGATGAAAGGTTAATTTCATATAATATTTCGCTACCGAGTTATCGCTAAAGCATAATATCATCTCGTTGGTTGTTGAAACATAATTTTCTATAATGAATGATGCCTTTTCTTTGAAAAAATTCTCGGTAAAGTGCAGAATCGCTCGCTTATTTCTTTGCCGCTTTTTACAAGGGTAAAAACAATTGGAATTTTGTCAATTTTCTTTTACTTTTTAAGTGAAAATAGGTCGATGTGTACATAGATAAAGTCAAGGGTGTGCGCAGTGCCATTTTTGTGCAATTCTAGGATTTTTTTTTTAAGTGAGAATAGGTCGATGTGCACATGGATACCGAGTATGTGCAATTCTTAAAAACACGCCCCCAAAATTCTATTGCCGACTTTTCGTCATGGGCAATTCCCAAATTGTTAAATCCATAGGATATCAAAAAAGGATTTTAAATCAAAAAAAGAATTTAAAAATTCAACTAGTATTTCAATGGCGTCCTAAAGAAATATAGAACTATTCTAAACTTACGCAATCTGAAACCAGCGCGTACGCGAGATTTGGCACGCTGTTAAATGGGCGTGTTTGCTAGATTTGGCGCTTTCGCGCATACATTTTTGCTGCAATTTTTTTACGGCCCTCGAAACCGAATTGTACCGACAGTTCTATAGCTCTCGTTCTATTGGGCCAATTGACAATACTCAAATTGCTTTCTTCATGTCTCCAAAGTGCAACTTCGTATATATATTGTATTTATATATAGCATTGTTCTAACATAGGTATTTTGACGCAAAAATCTGATTTTTTCTGATAGAAGACACCAATTTTTTTTCCATATTTCAGTTCAACAACTCATGGTTAATCTTCAGATTATGGTAACTTAACGAAAATTTGGCGACCAACACTGCTACAGCAACCTGCTAGTTTTTTTTTTTTTTTGACGCCATTTTGTTTTCACGAAGTAAAGGCATTTTTTTTTTTTTAACTCAACATTTTTTTCCAACAATCTGCCAGCCGAATTACACTTATGCTATAACTTTTATGGAACAAAAGTGCTTAATCATGACGAAGATTAGATGCGAAAATGGGAGAAAGTGCAGAATCGCCCACTGCTTGCAGCGTTTTTAAGAATTGCACATATACGGTATCCATGTACACGTCAACCTATTTTGACTTAAAAAAAAATCCCAGCATTGTGCACACTATTGACTTTATCCATGTACACTGCTAAAGTCCTAGCTAGTAACCTTTATCGCCTTACCAAAATGTCGTCAAACTACCTGTTACTATATTCCAAAGATTAGCCCTCAAATTTTGTAAAATTTGGTGTGAAATTTACGGAGAAATTCAAAAATTTATCTTGGCACAATTTTATCCATTTGCCTCATGAATAATTCACTTGGCAAACTTCTTAATATATGGCAACCAATTTTCCTTTCCATTCTATTATGCTGGAGCGGAAAAGAAGCCACATCGTTCCTTGTTTCAAATAATTTTAGCAAAGTGTCTAAACCACATTTGATTTTCAACAAATAACAAAACAAATATGCAAATTTCAAATGCGCCAATATGTAAATTCATGTATCTCTCTGAAAATTTTGAATAAAAAACTTATTTTTTGCAGGTGTGCTTAGAAATACGTCTACTTTAAGATGATGGTAAAAATTTTATAGATTCTAATTCAAAATTCTTGTTGAAAAATTTATAAAAATTATTTAGAAACAGAAATTTAAAAAATAAATCATAAAAAAATGGGTGAATTTTACTGGGAATGAACCTGAATTTCGAAATGTGAAAGGAAGAATCAAATAAGTTTAATAAAAAGTAGAGATTAATAAATACAGTACAAAGTCCGAAATCAGGATGTCCATTATCCGGAATGATCTAAAATCCGCACTTCAAAACCACAAACATTTTTTTTTATGCTTTAGGCATGTGCATTTGATTTTTCATTCCATAATAAAACGTGGAGATTTTCCCTTAAAAATTCCGATTTGTAATTTCACTTAGACACTAAATAAAGTACTTTGTTATGGAAAAACAATCATGTAAGCTTGAATTTGTGAGATTAATAATTTGGCTCCCTAGCTGTCTGCTTGGCATACATCTGAAACTGAAACATTACCTTATTTTATATCCCTGACCATGACCTGCCGAGTCATTTTTATTACATTTTGCTTTCATTACCGCATGTTTATCAATACATGGCAGCTTCAGTAATAACTCATGCAGTTATGTCTAAATTTTTTTATTACACTGCTGGCCACCCAAATTGCAACACCAAGAAAGACAAGATATATCCCAAAAAAATTTATTTAGTAGATAACATGTTTGACCAAGTATCAAATGATTAAATTTATAGACTTCTGTGAAGTGTCCTTCCAGAATCAGTAGCCAGAGTAGCCGCCATTGTTGGAGATCACTGCTGCCACATGCTTCGGCAATAATTCAAAGAGACTTTAGATGTGTTCTTGGGGTACAGCAGACTAAGCAGCTTCCGTACATTTTCATAGTTGATCTGGTGGGGCAGCTTGGGATGTAATCTGGGCCAATCGTTCAGCAACCATGGACCACATTATTTCTGTCAGTGAAAGATCCGGAGAGCGAGCCGGCCAGGGAAGCAGTTCAATGTGGTGACTGACGAAGAACCCTTGGACAATGTGTGCCACGTATGGTCGCGCATTATCCTGTTGAAATATGGCAGTGTGGCGGAGCATAACGCAGCTGTTCAGCATCCTCTCTCCACGGTGTCTCCAGACTCGAATCCGACCATC